CATGATTGTAATTTTTTACAGTTTTAGTAGGTTTTTTATTTTTATTTTTTTCGGTTTATTTTTGCAATTATATCATTTTTTGAGTTGTTTTATTAAATAAATTTGTCTCTTAAATTGGTCACGTTTACTTCATCGACAATCATTTCGTGTTATATCAAGGTAGTTTCGAAGTTATATCGAGAGATATGGTCAAGAGAAGAGTTAGAAAGAGAGTTGTCCTTTGACCAAGTCGAAAACCAACCCTTTAAATATATCTTCAAGTAGCACAATTTAATTTATTAAACTAATTTCTTCGACATTTTGTTTAGATCGTCAAGTACATTTATTCCTTCCTATATACATATGTAAATGATTATAGTGATGTTATTAAATTTGTATAAACTATTGAATGATTGATAAAACCTTCGTTAATATATTTTGTTCATAGATCAGCTTACTTCGATTACTCCTACACAAACTATTAAATAGTTGATAAACGTTCGTTAGAATATTTCATTCATAGATCTTGTCCTTAAAACTTACTTCGATTACTCTTATACCAACTCTTGAATGATTAATAAAACGTTCGTTAGAATATTTCATTCATAGATCTTGTCCTTAAAACTTACTTCGATTACTCCTACATAAGCCATTAAATAATTAATAAAACGTTCGTTAGAGTATTTCATTCATAGATCTTGTCCTTAAAACTTACTTTGATTACTCTTATACCAACTCTTGAATAATTGATAAAACGTTCGTTAGAGTATTTCATTCATAGATCTTTTCCTTAAAGCTTACTTCGATTACTCCTACATAAACTATTAAATATTTGAATAATTAATAAAACGTTCGTTAGAATATTTCATTCATAGACCTTGTCCTTATAACTTACTTCGATTACTCTTATACCAACTCTTGAATAATTGATAAAACGTTCGTTAGAATAGATCTTGTCCTTAAAACTTACTTCGATTACTCCTACATAAACCATTGAATAATTAATAAAACGTTCGTTAGAATATTTTATTCATAGATCTTGTCCTTAAAACTTACTTCGATTACTCTTATACCAACTCTTGAATAATTAATAAAATGTTCATTAGAATATTTCATTCATAGATCTTGTCCTTAAAACTTACTTCGATTACTCCTACATAAACCATTAAGTATTTGAATAATTGATAAAACGTTTGTTAGAATATTTTATTCATAGATCTTGTCCTTATAACTTACTTCGATTACTCTTATACAAACTGGATCTTAATCATCCTCAAAAAACAATGATTCGTTGTCGTCGTTGCTACTAATTATAATATTATTGATTGATGGATCTTCATATATTACAAATGTGACCAATCAAATCGATTAGCGAAAATTGTCTAATTTTTTAAATGTTTCCTTTTAATTAACTAAATAAAATAAATAATAAAAATTAACAAAAAGGAGGGTCATGTCACGAAGGGTCAATACACCCAACATGAGCCACCCGCGGGACTTTACAGCCGGTCCAAAGTGAGGCATTGCACCTAAGGGAGCCGGACACAGGGGACTATACCCGGTACTTCACATTGCATGCTTTTCCCTCAGTCGATACTATTAAACCAATTTTATGACTTATATATCAACTTTTTTTCAAGTTGTGCAAAATATGGGATACCAACCATTTCATTGGATTAAATTTATTCTATAATTTTGTTGTGTAATCTAAAAAAAAAATAAAATTCAAAGAAAAGTAGACCGTTAAATACAAGATGTATGACGACATACAAGCTTCCAAAGCAAGTTTGTAAAATATACTGATCAATTATTGAATAGCTTGTATTAAGATAAGTGTTAAAAGTCAAGATCTATGAATCTGTTTGTAAAATATATTTAATGAGCGCTTATTAATTATTCAAATAATTATATAGGCGGGCTTGGTAGAAGTGTTAAAGTCAAGATCTATTTGCAAATCAAGTTTCCGAAATGAACGTTATAGGCGGGTTTGATTGAAGTAAGTATTAAAGTAGTCGAGATCTATGAAGCTGTTTGTAAAATATATTAATTAACGTTTTATTATTATCAATTATTCAAATAATTATATAGGCGGGTTTGATCAAGTAAATGTTAATCAAGACTGCAAAATGAATGTTTATCAATAAATTACATAGGCGGGTTTGATTGAAGTAAGTATTAAAGTAGTCGAGACCTATGAAGCTGTTTGTAAAATATATTTATTAACGTTTTATTACTATCAATTATTCAAATAATTATATAGGCAGGTTTGATCAAAATGAGTGTTAATAGAGATCTATGAAGTTTGAAAAATGAATGTTTATCAATTATTCAATAATTGTATAGGCGGGTTTGATTGAAGTAAGTAGTAAAGTAGTCGAGACCTATGAAGCTGTTTGTAAAATATATTTATTAATGTTTTATTATTATCAATTATTCAAATAATTATATAGGCGGGTTTGATCAAAGTAAATGTTAATCAAGGTTGCAAAATGAATGTTTATCAATAAATTACATAGGCGGGTTTGATTGAAGTAAGTATTAAAGTAGTCGAGACCTATGAAGCTGTTTGTAAAATATATTTAATTAACGTTTTTATTGTTCAAATAATTATATAGACAGGTTTGATCAAAGTAAATGTTAATCAAGATTGCAAAACAAATGTTTGTTTTTCGACCAAGTCGAAAACCAACCCTTTAAATACATCTTCAAGTAGTACAATTTAATTTATTAGACTATTTTGAAGGTTTTTTGCATGCTTTCTTCCAATTTCTTAATTTTGAACCATTTGTCGAATATTTTTATTAACTCTCATATAAATAAATAATTCATTTATGTTATCAAATTCACGATTTTGATTGGACAATCAATGATTACATGGATTAAAATTTTGTGTTAAAACATAGCTCACATGACCGTTCTCTTCTAAATCTTTAATTAGCCTTGACTAAATAAAATAAATAAACATTTATTATCTTTTTAAACCAAAATTATCCACTAATTAAACTAATATGTTAGTAAACCTATTCATTCTGATCCACATAAACAATTGTTATCATCAGTTAATTCAAACATAATTGGTAACACTATAATACATGCAAATTAACATGAATTGTTGTAGAAATGAACTGTCGACAAAATAATTTTCGACGAAATGAACTTTCGACAAAATGAACTTTCGACGAAATAATTTTCGACGAAATGAACTTTCGACGAAATGAACTTTCGACGAAACAAACTTTCGACGAAATGAACTTTCGGCGAAACAAACTTTCGACGAAATGAACTTTCGACAAAATGAACTTTCGACGAAATGAACTTTCGACGAAGTGATTGTCGACGAAGTGATTGTCGACGAAGTGATTGTCGACGAAGTGATTGTCGACGAAATAATTTTCGATGAAACAAACTTTCGACGAAATGAACTTTCGACGAAATGAACTTTCGACGAAATGAACTTTCGACAAAACAAACTTTCGACGAAATGAACTTTCGACGAAATGAACTTTCGACGAAATGATTGTCGACGAAATGATTGTCGACGAAATGATTGTCGACGAAATGAATCAGACCCTTAATCTATTATCTTTGATAAAAATTATCTATAATAATTACCTAAAGAGACATGGCAAGTTCTGTTCCATCCGTATTTTGATTTCAACAAGACATTTATATAAAATAATAAAAGATACATTTATAAAACAATTAAAAAAAAAAAAATAAAATACAATACAAATACGAAAAAAATAGTGTACCTCTCGCTATTAATAAACAACACCTTGTCTTCTTTAGAAATGACCATACCATACTGGGGTTGGTCAGCATGGTGGAAGTTTGATTTGATTGGTTGTGAAACGTGACAAAATTGAATCACCAAAATTAGAATTTATTATGTAA